ACAATTTGATTGATGTCGTGTCTAGCTTCACAATAATTATAATTTACTAATAAACTCAGGCCAATCCGGTTACAATTACCCCAGGACCCTGCAGAAGCAACTTCGTTACATTAATTCTGTTTTCCTTATTCAGCAATGTTTATCTTCTTGCAGTTCCGTTCTCATATTGGAATCTTCCGATAGTCCTGTTTCCTAGCTGCATCTTGTTTTAATATTGGATTCTACTTCCCAATAGAAGCTATTGCTCAATTTCTAACTTGTATACACGTCCAGTTGGAGTTCTTCTACGACGCTGTTACGTTCCGTCATTTTCTGGAAACGATCCCGTAGAAGTAATGTTCACTTCCATTCCAGTCAGTACCATTGACTCTTTTGTCTCGGTGCGTTACTGTATAGGCCTTTTTTCAGGGTCGATTAGCCTACGGGAATGAATGGCCCAGTGATTTTGTTACTTGATTGCAATTAATTCGTTAATGTATTCCGCTGCTTAAAGAAATAGCTGAGCTCAACTTCAAACTTGCTAGTATAAACCTATACAAATTTTATTCAGCCTGCATATATAAGATCAATTACCGGCAGGGCCAACCTAACCCAGATCTAGTACGTTTCTGCAGATATTTTCGCCCCAACTTTGAAACGTTGTGATGACCTCAATGTTCTCTTGCATTCGTTCTGTTACCCTAACTGCTTCTGCTACCAAAAAAAAGTCCTGTATAATTGAAGAATATATATAGAAATGGTTTATAAATCATTGATCATTTCGTAACACATAAGGGCCAACAAACAACCTGTTGAAGCATCTACGCAGTGAGACTATGAAGCGTACGCCAAGAATATGTTTCATATTTAATCAACTCTCGGCAAAATTCATCATTTTACGGTTGGACAGTAATAATAGCAAATATAAAAAGTTATTTGTCAGATCCACTATTGTAATCGCTTTGTAAAGCTGAGAAAAAACAACTTTATATATAATATACTATATGTATAAGATAAATATTTGACAAATTCTGGAGGGGTGCTAAGCAAATCGCCAACTTAGTCGGATTAAACTTGTACTTTATACGAGAAAGAAATTTACCCCTACAAAAAATACTCAGCCATTGATAAATATGGATTTTATGCTAAGAGTATTTATCGTTAAACCATCTTTAAGGTGCGTAAAAATTGCCCGTTAAATCCCATTTTCGGCCTGTTTTATAAAGTTTGAAAAAGTATCGTTCAATGAAGATCCCTTACAAATTTTCAACGGATTCCTTAAAGAGCTCAAGATTCTGCAACGAAAAAAAGCCATTCTTAACAATAAATGCTAGCTCAAATATGTTGCGTCTCCTAGTATAAATCCTAGTGCAGAAGAGAATGCCGATAAGCTTCGGAACGTGTCGTGGAGATATCGTATTTATGCAACCGAGCTGGCAGAAAGAGATAGTTTGCGTCTTTGCTGATTTTTAGTATTATTGAAAGATATCCCGTAGGACCCATAAGTCAATGAGAAGGTACCTAAAAGAGGCCCTCGATAAATGTACATAAACTTGCTATCTAATGAAAGAGCCGGTCTCATGATCAGCTATAGCTTGCTCGACCTTTCGAAGCTGACACAGTAGAAGTGATAACGAATCTCTCGGAAAGAAGAACCATAAAGTTTAGGGCGGGAATATAGCTCACTCTTTGCGTTAAGACACACGCCCTTTGTCTCCTGAATCGGTAATAGATTCCTTCATCTAACGGTGATACAGAAAATACCACAAAATATTAATAAGGACATAGCGTTTCCTACTCGGAATTGTGATCTTTTTTTACTTAAGACTTGTTTCTATAGATACATTCGACCTGTATATAAGTAAACTTGATCATTAGTAACCACAAATAACTAAAAAGGGTAAGTGCTTCCTTTTTAAAACGGGCTATGGACCTCAGAAACTGCCAGACTTCTGCTGCTTCTGTTGACTGTTGCCAATTCAAGCTATAAATGACAGCTGCGTCTAGAGAGGAGTTCAATTATTGAAGCATTATATACAACGGTCAACCTTTTTTCTCATATCGGAGTCGTCATATGTAACAGGAGCTGGACAGAACGCGCCTTCGCGTTGAACTAACAATAGCTTTGTGGGCCACGTTTTTGCCTTGACAATTGTTTTTCGCTATGTGCTCATATATAGAGATTAGCACAGATACAGCGTGTTGTTTAGAATTTTTTTCTCTAAATCTTAAAATCCAAGGTGAAACTTCGAGTCCGCTGATCGAGGCCTGGGTTTCTTATATTGTTGTCATTCTCGACATTATGTTCTGATATATAATGCAAGGTGTATTTTGTATGAATGAATGCTATCTAGCAGAGGTAAATAAATAAATCAATGTAAGCACTAAGCATACATAATTACAAATCTGAAACTACAAATAGAACAAGTGCTTCCAGCACTGAGATCAGCAAAGTGACGTATGATAGGTGATTTATTACAATTTAAGTTATAAACTGAACTCTATGTCTGGGACTTGTACTGCATAACTTATAGTCAAAGCCAGCGTACCAATAAGTTTTTGGCTGAACTGCGTGGGTTATCACCATAGCCGCATTTATGATTATATGGGAATACACATGCCGATATTGAACTTACATCTACGCTCATGACATTCAGCCTGTATTGATATAATAATAAACTTGAGAGCTAGCGATATGGTAAGTAAAAGTGCGAGCCACGAATGCTAATAATAATAATAATATTATTATTCCCAGGCAAACATGATCCGAACCAGTATATAAGAAGCTGTCTGATCTGGAATATGTATCGGCTCTTAATCGTAGATAGGATTTTGGGCCCACACGGAATGAGGGCAAGCTTAAAGTAATGGATGGCACCACTTGTGACTGGAATGTCTCGTAGAATACCTTCGTGGCAGGTCACTAGACGCGAACGACGAAGGTGCGACTAAAACAGATTTCGTTGGATGCGACTGCCTTTCTAAGCACGCTTGTTTCTTGCCCGATTTATCGTAGTCGACTACACCGCGCTGGACACATAGATTCCGATTCCATCACGTGTACATAAGGCTCTCCGCACCATTACCTGATGGCCACCCTAGGTCGCTTGCCGGACCCATAGTTCGAAACCGTCATAAATAAGGCCGCATCTGCGACGTTGCAAAACTCAACTGGTCGACAATGAGCTCACGGTTGGTCGAGCTACCATATCTGTTCAAGACAGAATGTTACATAGAGGCACGAAAGAAACGTTTGAAACCGGCGTGATATGGGTGACTAATGTGTATTTCTGGTAACGATAGGTAACAGGCATATTGCTGCATCGGTTTGAATTTAAATGTCGCTAAAAATCGTTGCTATATATTGGTAACGAAGTAACAGAATGTCGAAAAAAATAATAATTTAGTAAAAATTATCTGCTCGTAAAATTGCCATGCTATTTCATAAGTCTATTGGAGAAACCCTACATTAGACCAGCAAGACTCACCTTGGTTCGACTCTTAATGGGGGCAAAGTGATCCAGAGTATTTGTTCATGTGGGATAAATAACTGAAAATGCTAAAAATTTAATAAAATATGATTAACAAAAAAAAACTAGGAAGCATGTTCGAGTACGATTTTATTAATCATGATATGAGCCAAACCGCCCTTGGTAATGCTTGAGTCCTCGCATGACTTACTTACGCATTCCGAAACGCCGGAATACCAAGTAAGATAGCCCCTAACTGGCGCGTACAGGTCGACGCCGTTCGACAGGGTAAAGATTGACTTAATGAACGCGCGTAATGCACCTTAACTGCGAACAGCGGGGGTATTCTGGGGCAGAGTCCTCAAAGCCGGAGCGTCTGTTGTATACATGAGGTCGCCAGTGACCCGCTCCCACTTGTGCTTAAGCTACCCTGCGAAAAGGTGTTCGAGGTACATGACTCTGCAGCAGACGCGAACGCAATCTCTTCGAGTTTGGCAAGTAGGCTTTACGCAACGGGAATAGTAAAGTCTTTGGAGCTGCCATCGTTGCCGACGCTTAGCATGCTCCACTGGCTAATCTGGATATTGCCGTGAAAATATGGCTGATGTCGGTCCATCTAGTAGTCCTTCATACTTGTCATGTAATGATTTCTGTAGGATTACTGGGGATATATTATACCGCCAAATGTAACAATGTATGTGATGATCTAAACAGTTCATTCATGAAGTGATATTCCTCGGCGCTGCCTATGCATCACCGAACAAAGTCGTGAGTACGGATGAGTGGAACCTGTCTCAGATTCTATTAGGAAAATAATCCTATTTAAGGTAAAAACCACACTCTACTGGCCAAATAACCGCGCCTTACGAGACCTGGAAGCTATTTATATCATCAGTACGATGAGCCAAAGAACGCATGCCCTGGACAGTTATCGACCACAACGCTAACAATCCCAAGAGCAGCTACTCCTTTATCCTTTATCATATGCTGAAGTTGACTCGGTCAGAGAAGGCGTGGGGTTGCGATAGCCTTTACGGCACGATCGGTTCTTCATCCAGCTATTGACAACTTTCTATAGCCAAATTTTCAGGGGATCGAAGAAACTCAGTCCAACCTCCACGCAACCGGCTTTTCATTATCAATCGTGGTGAGCGTCGAACGGCACCCGAAGGTTGTCCGATAAACAGAAATGCCAATATCCTGCCCCTTATTATCGTAAATAGGATAACACTACACAGTCATGGTTGCCACGTGCCTAAAACGTCAGTCGACCGTAAACGCGAAAAACATATGGCGGACATATGCTCCGAAACATACCCTGGTAGCGTAGTTGACTGTAAAGATGTGCGCAGCGAGTATTAATAATATTGTAATACAAAATATTGCTACCGATAACAGAACAGCGAGTACCATGCGGTGACTTACGTATGTATTATAGGATTATCATACATTGCGCAAGTTGTTGCATAATATAGTAAATGGAGAGGAATTTATTAAATACGGATAATGAGTGGAGTTCATAAAATTCTCTCGTGAATCTATTTTTTGCAGGTGTGAGCGAGCTGCGTGTCAGCTCGCGATTGTTCCTGCTACGTCGTGGCATGGAGAGGCCCCTGTTATCCTTCGAAGGACTCATCTTCCTGCTATTGTTACTACTCTATCAAATTAAGCCCATTCACTCAGGTTAGTTATATGTCCAAGAACTGTGCATATGGTTGTAGATCATTAGAACTAAGTGTTACTGAGCCCAAAAATTCTAATAGTTACAAGCTTCTAGTTCAAATATCAGGGGAACATAAATATATATGTTTTTATTAAGATATGTTCCTTTGGTACTTACGACGTTGGTTACTCATGATGCGTAACCGATAATATCGTCGATGAATAGGAACGAGGATCTCGATTGTCAACGGAGGAGTGTATGGGGATTAGGGTTTTCATTACTAATAATCGAGTAAAAATTTGCTTGTTCGTACGATTAGTATGCATGCATAAAATGTTCCAAATATAAATTTTTACCATAAAGAAAATATTAGGTATTTTACCTCACCTAAAAATCTGCTTGAAAGATACTCTCTTGTATAAACTTAATTTGTATTATCCTTAAAAATAAGTTGGCTGATTCAACTAACTAGCTAGCTAAAAAAAACTATAGTGTCTATCTTTCGCTGTACGTACTTAACGTCATTGTGAAGTGACGAGAACAATATTTAATAAAAACAATATTTTACTTACGCCTTGTCTAGTAGAATAGTAGTATTTGTGATAACAACAGAGGTGCCACCCGGCCCGTTGTAATTATACAGAGTATTGTTTGACTGACTTTTAAGTATATTATACGTCAGGATAATTAAGTACTTAATTCTATGTTTGTACGTGCGGTCTTCAGCGGTGAGTAACTGCCTAGGTGATGCCCTACTGCACGTGAAAATCAATGGTTTGCTACAGGCATACCTCTTTCTAACCGAAACCATCGCATTTTGGAAGTGTCTTGTATGAATGACTGTGGACGAACGTCATCTACGAAATATTTAAGGCAGCCAATGACACGAAAGGACCTTCCCGGAACTTTTCTGGACCCATCGTGCGTCTAGCAAATGTGTTTTAGCTGTTTACGAAGACCAATTATATTATACTTTGATTCACAGTGAGATAAGGCGTGCCTGGAACATTGTTATGATGGAGGGCCTCTTATAGTGCGGAGCCACCGGGTTGATTAAGGGGTTCCGGCCGACTACAGACGTAGCAATGATAGTGGTCTAATTCGTTCCTGCTGACGGAAGTTCACACCAATACTTCTCAGACCACTTCCACGCCCACAAGTTAAAGTTACTGATGAGCTCATTTCGGCCTCGATATGGGCGCATTTATATATTCATGCATTCGTTTTCAGAGGTATCCTAGCCAAGATAATAGTGAACAGGTTTTTCGCTTTTTGGCTATCTAAGCCAATGCCCTGCGGCAAGACCAGACATAAAAATCGAGACATCCTGCCACTCATCGTATTGCTGCACGTCTTCTTCAAAGATCCTTGCCGTGGCCCTCGGCCTAAAGTGCCTTATACATCCCGACTTTGGAATATTTTGGACCTCAGTATGGAAACCGTACACCCGTTTGGCTCCGTAGTCACATATGGAAGTCAAATAACGAATATATCTGAGACATGATATCGGCGAAATCATATGTTCAAGCAAGATAGGGTGGTTTTGAATTCGTGCTTTAAGATTGTTCTCAGTCATATATGGTCATTTTCGTTCGTATCAGCTTTCGAGGTTGAAATATGGAACCGTAATGTCCTTCATTTGCGATAATTGCTATACTGCTTTGTCTATCGTTAAGCATAGAAAGTGGACATTTTGAAGTATGGAAACAGACGCTCATCATAGATGCCGCACTATTAAAGTTTATCATGCCAGATATATATATATTCCAATCAAGTCCAAACATTAAAATAAACCCACTTCAAGTTCGAAAAAACTAATAAATAAGGCGAGAATAAACTTTGTGTTTAGGTATCTGCTGGGCCTTAGTCAAATTGACCGCTACCATCGTTCGGAACCGATTACGACTTCAACAGGTCTCCAGGAAACATTGTTTTTATTATTAAAAGCTTTTCATGAATCGACGAAATTAATTTGCTTATCGTGTTGCCTGCACGACACGCGCATAGAATTTTCTTACCAATCTTGACGTATTGGAGAACAAACATGTCTTCGATAACTTGCTGTTTTTCGTCTAAACTTAACGATAGCATATAATATAATATTCGTTTATTATAAGACAAGGGAGTAGATGAGGGGAAAGGTTTACATAAAAAAACAGAAATTTTTCTTTAGCATTCTGTTGTTTCAGTCCGGTTGTAAACAAAGGTGCACCGCTGCTGCAACGCGCGCCATAGCGACAGTCAAAACACGCCAGGGGCTGATTTTATTGCCAAACTCAATAATCAGCTGATCGACAATACTCAAACATAAAAATTTGCAGCAAAGCTTTGGGCAAGTCTGTCGCCTGGCCTAGAATCGCGTCTACCGTTAGATTTCAGACAATAAAGGCGATTGCAGGTAAAGCTCATAGCACTCCATGCTTTCAACACTGTAAACGGGTTTTTCAATTAATTTTAAAAAAAAAATCTGTTTTTTTGAGTATAATAAATAATGGTCAACGGGAATACTGATGAAGTTTCCTCTCATTTCATTCCACCCTTGAATAAGCTGTAATTAATTAAAGGTATGTCACACTTATTTCGTAGATGAACTGAAGTTGTTTTTGTTGTTCTTTCTTCCTAATTTTTAGGTGCCCACTTTAAGAAGAAACTCCAATCGATATAATAAAATCCAATTTACGAAAGGAATAAACCAGTACCCCGATCGTTAATATATTCAAACAGGAGTAAAAAATGCGTTTACGGGTGAAGTTTATTATAAGGCAGTGTCATCGTCACTTTTATTAACTCTTTTCCCTGCTAAGAAGATCATCGCCGCGTGGACCGTTTTTGACGTTAATGATGCCCACAGCCTGATGCGCTCGTACGGTTTTGACGGGCGCCGTTACAGCTGCCCTGCTATCACCAGCACCCTTTCATTAACAACAAAAGTAGCGTTATTACTGATCAGGACAGTTAACTTAAGCCTGCTCTTGTTGTCGACGTACGTACTGCCCACGCGAGCACAATGACGCGATAGCTGGCCAGTAACTTTCATATATTACTTATTGTTTCGAACTATTTGTTTACGCCTATGAACCTCTGATAATAATTTGTTGGCTCTGTATAATTATTTTTGCTCGTGATCCGCCAAGAACTCGCACTGCTCGTGGCTGGCCAGTTCAAGCCCGTTCCCGTTATTCAGCCTGTCGTTATTGCTATAGTTGTTATACATGCCAACACTCAACATACTCGGGTCAAGAAAACATGCATATTTTCTTGATCCGAGTAGCTGGGCCTGTGTGAGTCGGGGGTTGAATGCGGCGTTTCGTTCAAGGTGATCCATGGCGGTATATCAAATTGCTCTGCTTACGGTATACGCACGTGTGGGTTTGATATCCGACTTCAAAAGCTGTGCATATAATAAAATGATTCTCAAGTTGATTATGGGGGCACAGTGTTGTAGCTTGACCGCGAGCTGCAAAAGTAAACATTTACTCGAAAACAATGTAAGGATTATCGGTAGATTAGGAGTGTCTAGTATGGTGTCATGGGGCGTTGTTTGTCTAGCTTCATTGACACATAATGCAGAGACTTCATCTAGATGGCCGATATGGCTTCACCTAACGTTCGATATAATCTAAAGTAAACGAATAGAGACAAAAAATTCTGATCTTATAACTATTATTAATAAAATTTTATACGTTGTTGTCCTTACCGTCGGACCCAGCTGCCACAACGCCTACATTTAAACATATTTGCCTCTAAAAAGCTATTTTCTGTGTGGTCACAATATGCACTTGATTTCCATATAAAAGTGAAGAAAAAGGCACAAAAATGTAGGACTAACGATGAAATATTGCAAAGACATATGACATAAGAATGAAATGACGTAGTCAACTTTGAAGATGGCGTCATGAGGAAAATCTGCACGAACAATTTTATCATTATTAGTAACTATACCAGTAACTCTTACATGCTGCCTGCCAAATAAAGACCGATAGAAAAAAAACTCAATTTATTCAACATTTTAAGGAATATCAAGTATGGCAAAGAAGAAAAAGCGTTTGCATTATTAAAAAAAGGTAATACTGATGTTCGAAATGTGACTGGTTGACTGACTCAGACAAATGGGAATCACCTGTAATAGGGGTCGAGGTTATAATCGTAGAGTTTTCGCAAGACATATATATATATATATATATACATATATAACTACATATATATTATTGTATAGAAGTAACTGTATCATGACAGTCCTATATTTTCCGTTGACAACTATGAGCGTAGTTCACTGCGGATAGTATTTTGAAACAGGAAAACCCTACATGGCTAAAAGTTGTCGGCAAAACTAACAAAAAAGATTACAAAGGGTATCGAATCTGACCTTATCGAGTACCATTTGTTATTTTTAGATCGTCATTACATATTATATTTTGATAGATACTATGGTGATAAAAGCCTAGCAGATCTGAGATCGTGTGCATATTGTGTGCTTATACCCCATCTATTCTCATCATCGTGTTCATTATATTAAACCAAAAAAGTTCGTATAGTGGAAATGAATATATCAGCTATTGCCTTAGGACGGAATGAAACTATGGTTCGTTACCGATATACGTACACGAAAGCAGTGTGCTTATTACTGAAGTGAATAGAAGCACTTAGAAATCCGTATGCACAAAAGCGTCTTTTACCTACTGTTTTCTAAGTGGCACGTACGACCCTATGGAGGACCCATCACACAAAAAAATACCAGCACATTGTCGGAAAAAGTGGAATATTTAGAAATCTCGGGTAGCAAACTCGACAGTATAACATAAGGGAGTCAGGAACTATAAATGCTATATATAAGTCCCTTGATCTACCAGCCAGCTTCAGTCAGTCATATATATGTAAGTACTAACGTTTCCTGCTTATGAACAGCTTTGAATATATACCACCTTTAGCCACTGCTGTGGAATACTGTTCATAATGCAAAAAAAAGCTATACTTAAAAAAAACACTTAAAGATACTCTCAGGGGTTATTTTAGATTAGGTAGTAGTGAAAATTTGCGATAATATTTTAATTTTACACAGACATAGGGTAACAATCCGTCTCATTCAAAAAATCAAGAATGACCTGTGTCAAGATACGTCTTTTTCCCTTTCTAAGGTCTATATTGCGTACTTAGTGTTCTTTTAAACACTTTTAATTATACGTCCAATTTTCTTCTTATCTTTTTCGCATTTTTGATATAAATCTATCACCTTTTTTGTAAGAAGCGTAACATAATTTTGAAGAAAATATTTATTCTGTCCATCTTGTGTGGATGTCAAAAAAATGTATCTTTTTATCGAAGCTTTCAACGCCTATCATCGGCATAATCGTCGCCACATAGGGAAAGGCAAGTCGACATCAAAAACACGTAATACTAGAATTATTTATAATTGGTCCAGACCGGCCGCGCTGAAAACCCGAATCAGATCCGCTGTATAGAAAGGGAATATTGCGGTTAAATTTGGCGGGGTTGTTATTAAGGTACTTGAAAGCAATACGTAAAACGTTCTAATGCAATAGCTTTTATTGCTTCTTGGATCAAATCTAATAGTAAACTTTCTCATTGTATGTACGCGTATGTGCATACTGTTGTAGATCCGGCGGCATCGGAAAGTGGTGGAAGCGGAAATTCTATGGTGGCTCAGCTGTTGGCTGGAAAAAGCGGGATTGAGGAATCGGCATTACGAGAGTTCGATGAAGAAGCATATGACGTTTGCCGACGGTATATTGCACTGCACGATACCGAACGACGCACTGGAGTGCATCTCCCACTACAAGGTAAATCCCTACCAAAATAGATTAGGAAAACTCTCAAAGTATGCGTAAACGTTTCGTGCAGCAAATGATCTTTGATTAATTATTCTCGAGAGTCGCAACCGGTTGCTTTTGTATACAGATCCGTACAAATGGGATTCGTTATAAATAAAACAATATAACAACATCTAGCTTCTAACATAATCAATGGCTAATCTCTGTGTAAAGACCGTATTATGGAATGGAGTTTTTTTTTTGTAGCTTTTTTGTTATTACGATTGGGTGAGCATGCCCTCGGGATCGCCTGTTCGGTATAGCATTAAAGACCCGCCCCCGATATAACATCCAGCTGCAGTGGGTTTTGCTGGATATATCTGGAGTTTCCCTAATAGACATATGAAATAGTTCTATAGTTCATAGTCACTATGGTAACGCGTTCCAAGAGATGCGCATTAGCTACCCAGGCCATGACAATCCCCTGCTTAAAATTGAGTTACCTAGAATCGTTTCTAAACGCGGCTGTTCTAGTGTAGATCAATGGCAAATCGATAGCAGAAGACAGACGATACAAATAAAAAGAAAACATGATTTTCAACTTCTCTAAGGAGTAGATATGGTTGGTACTTGTCGCTTGGTAAGTTTGATCAGCACTGTCCATAATGCTTAGTCGTCGTTAGGCATCACCGCGCGTAATACCCGAATTTATGTCCTATTGACCAGGTCTAATTACCAATAAAAAAGAACCTGATGCTATGGATTACTGTCTACCTAACCTTTCTGTATACATGAAATTATTAAATACGTAAACATATTTACTACCTGACGTAACAGTTAACACCCAATAAATATTCTTGACTTTGTAGATTCTGGATAAATAGTGGCTAACGCCTTTGTCGTTACCTCGCCCTTTAGGTTATTAGCTGGCTATTTTAAAACCCCTTCAAGAACCGAGGTTCTGCTGGAAATCTAGTTGGATCCTAGTTTCCTCCGCGATTGGAATTATAAATTCAACAAACAAGGATATAACAGCTTACCGTTTCTTTAAGCTTCTCTCACAGGAGTTTATCTCTAAGGGTAGACATTGGTATAATATAACTTTTTACAAGAACCATTCTTTTATTTTTTATGCCCCCAATTAAAATTACCTTTAAAATAATAACATAAATATTCATAAAACCTTCTTGTGTAATATTATATATATTTATATAGATTGATTTTTATTCATAATTAACTATATATATATATATATATATATATATATATATATATATTTTTTTTTTTTTTTAATAAGACTCATTTAAACCCTTATTTCACGCGATTTTTGGGTCAAAAACTAGTTACAAAGACATCTGTGTGCGTGTACTTACAGTAAAAGCTTTCTTACTTTAATAATCCTTGTAACAGAATCGAGCGTTTGCGTGCACGTATAGCCGTGATTTTGAAATATCTGTCTCATTCGTGACATCATAGATCGCGTTCGCCGTTTACCAAACGCAAGATCAGATATTGATACAGTCGATTTTCTCTGAGTCTTAATCTTTGATTGTGCCCAATTAATAGACGCTCCACAATCAATATATTTGTATCGGATTTATTTCGTGAGAATATCTACATGAAACTTCATCTTATCCTTATGAAAACGAAAGATTATGCAAAATCCAATGTAGATGATACCGACGCTGGCAGTATACTGGCTGCTGAACAGCTGCTCACCATAAAATGTTTGTTCGCAGGTGGGAACTTTCGGGAATCGGTTGGCGGTGGGTCTTTAAACACTGCAAGAGATGGTATTGTAGGAGACGAGGAAGACGGTGAAGCGACTTCGACAGGAATTGCCCTTTCGAGGGAGATCAGGCGGCCGCCATCACGAGCCCGCGTTTATGCCTACAGAGGGCAAGGTCAGTGGCAGCTGAAACTACAAATATGCATTTTTTAGACTTTAAAAACTAAAACGACGTTTGCTCTGCAAAAGTATGAATGTTTTACAGATTCTTACGTGTAAAATACAATGTAATTTTTTTATGGTAATAATAGTATTAAGCTATGAATTATGAGAAGCTAGCAATCAAGAGCTACTTGAACGGTATACCAAAAACTGGCTTCTCTCCCTAAAGAAACAAATCTTATACGTTTTAAATTGATTTGACGACAGCTAGTAATAACACCTAAAATAAATAGAACTAACTGTAGAATCACTCGGTGAAACATCGCCACATGTAATAGCATATAGTCAGACACGTAAGCATTGCCACGATCATCATTACCATGACGACAATGATAATGACGTCTGTTAATGCGCACTATGTTTGTATATACTCTTGCTAGATTTTTTCAAATTTGGCTCGTATTTTATTATAAAGCACATGTAATTGACCATATTTAAACAAGAACAGATATATCAACGAATTTTTGCACGTATGTAAAAAACATCGTTCCTGAAAACCACCTTCGTTTAATGTTTTCCACTGTTATTGCAGCTTCTATTTATCACTTAAACCACTAACTAGTCATTTTTAAAACAATAATTTTTTAGTCCGCAATTATTGGACGCCCAGCGAGATTAGTTTTGATAGTAGGCCAAAAGTGCCAAAGGTGTAGGAACTCGAAACGGCAAAAAATTAAAGAAGGATGCAAAAAGCTACAAAAAGTCTCCGAAAAGTCAACGGCTGACGCTTGATCAACAACTGATTCGTTTTCTCTGTAAAACAACCGTTAGTTTTTTGTAATAAAAATCCAGATACATTAAAATGTTTGTTCTTTTCTCTAATTTGATGATTTTTCTATCTCATGAAATTCCAAAGCTTACGAAAGATCTTCCATTTTGCTTTATAAATATGTTATTCAAATTTTTCAGAAATTACATAGAAATTGACAATAACATATATCGTTGATTTCCGGCAAAAAAAACTTTTAATTTTCGGGCAGGATTTGTTCAGTGCGAGAAGATTAGAGGAGCTCTGGTCCTTGCTCTAAGTCCGAAACAAGCGCAGTGTTCTTATGATCGCATGCCCGTTATGACACAAAACCTGCGAGAGTTTGTTTCAATTTAGATATCGTTCTTCCTATAGCGAGCTCAACCGTCGTGGACAATTGCTTATATTGCTTTATATCTTAGCGTAGCCACTTAGTCATTATAGCAAAGTCGACAAATGGTATTCATAATTATTTTATTTAGGACTCTGCGTATAAAACGGTGTCTGTCCGTCAGTTACTGGAAGAGGTCACTGATACCGGATGACCGGACTTGTAACTTGTAGACAAGATAAACTATATCTGTTACTGGTCTCTTCAGACTGATTGCAGTATCTGGCATTAACTGAAGAACAACTTATCCCGACGAAGGTGATGTTTCATGTTGAGTATAAGCTAGAGTCAAAAATCGCTCTAGCTTACCTCGGAGATAGTAAGGAGCAGAAAAATAGATTTTCTACAGAGAGCGAATCTAGAACTGCAATTGTAATCCAATAAACGGTAATCCTTGACTGGACACCAACAGTGGTAGAATTAAGCCAACATCGAGTGGGGCAAATACAAGATTTCTGCCACCAGCCGGAAGACAGCTTTACACATAGGGGGTGGTCGGTGCACACTGACAGTGAGCATTTGGTCAGCTCCTGCAACGACGAATGCAACCCTGTTACATACCTAAGTCTATACGCTGCTGGCTAGAATCACTTACGATAAATACATAACCGAGACGAGCGCCTACTGCTTTTATTTCCCCATTTCTACATGTATATGCATGACCGATACAAACCCCAATTAAGTGCCAACGACAAAAAATAGCACTAAGGTTTTAATCGGTAAAACACGATCATCCACATATGGCGATAGAATTATCATTGCCTAATACGACGAACAGCACACGGTGGACAATTCCCAAAAATCTCAATTCAATACGTAAATGAGTCAGTAGCCTTTTGTTTTTCTCTGTATATAATACGAGGCAGTATAGACTTGCGTCTATGCCGAACATTAGGTCAATACGATCGCAAAACTGCCAGACTGTTACTTGTTCATTATCGGGTAAGCTACAAATAAATCAAATATTGCGCATTCACTATGGCCGGAAAGGCATCGGGACATGGGACATCTGGAGTCACCGCAAGGCGAACGCTTTTATCGAAGTAACAGACAGGCAGTCGGTCATAGCAGGCCTGCGAAAAACCAGGATCGATAACGAAGTAACTAACCGAGTAAGCCAGGTTCGAGCTTGAACTGCGTTGAACAGAAAGACAGGAACTGAAAGTTGCAGAGGTAGAACAACTGGTGACTATGAGCGCATGAAATAATTATAAGAAGTTGAGCGCAGAGTGAGTGAGTTACAAATAGTAATCATAAGCATCGCTGTGGTGTAAAAAAGCCGAAAAACGGCCTGCGCATATCCAGCCACAGTTTCTCATTAGTAGTACCCCCGACAGGTATCTTATTGAATATAATTAAACACAAGAATAAGTGTCATTTGTGGTAAGTTGAATATATCGTGAAAAAATACTCTAGAATAATATAGCAATTTCTACTGACAAAATTAGACTGGCTTCTACGATTTTAGGCCTCTTATATAGAACTGTGCGGCGAATAAAAGTACTTACTTACCATACAAATTATAGCAAATTTTACCTTGGTCCTAACCGTTTCGGCTAGGTAGATTAGGTACCACGTGAGGTCATTCACGGCACACGATTACAATTGCAAAAGTAAGAAACAAGCATAGGTTGTAAGAATACGTTAATTACATAAAAAAAAAACACAATAATGGGAGCGTGCACTCTGCTTTTTAAATAGGATTCATACCGATAGTTTACAAATAGCCACCCAAGGTAGTCGCAGATAACACCAACGGAGCCTGACAGTTAGTATGCTGGCCTGTATGCGTATAATTACATGGATTCGGGTCGATACCATATGTGTTGTCATAAGCAACTATTATTTCCTATGCGCAAACTTAGTTTATCTAAAAATGTTTAATCGATAGGGATAATTGTATTTGCTTTTGGCTACTTTAGCTGCCAGTATGTGTAAAAGGACAGCGCACTAATGTAAAGGTCTGTTAGGCTTAATAATGCCAGATGGCTCTGAGAGCTGCCAGGACTGGAGAATCAACTGAGAAAATAACCTCTGTCAACAGAGATACGGCTTTGGTACTTATCGTGGATGTCCATGGAGCATATCTAGAAGACAGCTGCATATCGGATTAGTAAAGATAGAAAAAAAAGAAGGTTCGACTCGATTCTTTTTTTTTGAATGAAACTTTGCGTTGTAACTTGAAGGCCTATGTTAGAAAAAGCACAAACATTTAAATCGATTCATAAACGAGTTTCATAAGGGAAGTATACTTTGACTTTCCCCTTAAAGGGCTGGAGGACGACCTCTGACGATGAGGATAGCACTGAAGAAGTAACGCTTATCGATAGCTCGTCTCGATCCGTTCTTATATCGGAGGCACAAACTGTGAAAAAAGCATGGCCACCTGAACCTTCACAACGCATTTAATGCACCAGCATTTTTCGATCAAAAGTCATCAGGTGCATTTCTGATCCATGGCAAACCTGCAGAAGTTTGTGCATGTAACACCTAACTTAAAATTCTGTTAGAGAAACAGCGATCATTAGAAATTGTCGGCAGCAGTGGTAGCTTACGGGTGTTTCAGGGTGATACTCACTTAAATAGCATGAAAAGTTAATTATCTATGAATCAATAATAGTACTATAGACATTATTTGACGGCATCTCCTGGTAAAGCTGTGTCGCAGCACAACCCAGCTCCCTTATCAATCTGTATTTTTGGCTAGGGCTACTAATTGGCATAGCGATAGGTACAAAGGCGTTATGGGTTATGATAATTAGTTGACGCAAATGATGACGTTTCGAGATCTGCGTACGGCATCGTCACTGAACATTTCGTCTAACGGCTGGCTCCCACAACGAAACGAAGTTTGTGTATGCCTGGATTTGAACCTAGACCATTACGTGCCCTTGATATCAGCAACGAAGTACGTCACCCACTATGCTATCGCGGTAACTCCATAGATAGACCAGTGGAAAGCTATATTGACTGCATCAGTATTCGATAGGGATATGCTCCGTATATGTTTAGCTGATGCGAGGTTACTCTGGCTGGTTGCGAACTACTGCTTGAATTGTCATCACATATAGACTCACTGATTCCCGCCTGCCTAGTCGTAGCAGGATTTGCAGGACGGTTGGCTAGACATGCACGATAAATACACTTGCGGGTCTTGCGCCGCTTGCTTTGTTTCGGTTATTCATTATTCCTGTACATAGGACAGCGATAATCACGTCTCATGTTCTCTAACACTGATGCCAAGCTATGAAAGGAAAGCCGTAAGACGATAAAATATACTTGTCTTTATGAAACGTTTTCTTGTTTTAAGGCGAAGAGGGCGACTACGGAGTATCGACAGAGTACACAAAAGTGGTCTCTTCGAAAAAGTAAGTAAACTCACCCATCGACATATTAAACAATACGAAGCGACTTCAAAACTACTTTATAGTTCACAGGTATAGGGCGCCAAGCTGCTAGAAGCAGATCAAGTCAAATAAGCAACACGAACCTTATCTACGCCCGGTCGAGCTCCATATTTCATAGAGGAACGTTAAATATTGATATCATAGCAGAGTTATACAATAATAAATACTGATAGGATATAGCAGCACCCTTCTCTCTAGATAGTTTTAGAAATAAACATTCTCAGGAATATGTTTCAAGCTCCTGGATACCTATACCAACTCTGTGAGCAATAGATACAGGAAGCATGAAACATTTTTGGAACATTTACCGATACTTATGGAGCTCTACAAAATAGCTTTTAAATCGAATTAGAATAGTTTACTGGAATCAATGGAGCCATCCGTCTCTGGACGCTATTAAATGTATTTAATATGATAAATCCAAAAAAAGAGATCTTCTCTACTTAACGAGATGAATTATTGGGATGTTTCCTCTAAAAGAGATACGCGAAAACAGCACCATCGTAGCAATCAAGTGACAGCTCACTCTGATTAGGCTGATTATGAAACTATTTTTCCTGCTTATTATATACTGCGTGGAAGAGAAATGATAACTAATTAGCTTAAAAGCCAAAGAAGTATTTTGCATCTCGCTTATTTGTCCGCGGTAAAGTTGGCCAGATCTGTCAGTTATCGAACTGTTCGGATGATCACCAGAAACAGTTGAAGGGTAAACCGAAGTCACAATCTGGATAAGGTCTAGACAGGCACAGAATAGAAATCGGTTTATGACGCAGCACCTGTCTCGCTTAGGCTAAATTTAAGGGGTGTACGAGAATCGCCAGCAATAGTACCGCTTAATCGGAGTTAAACGATTAGTTTGCGGAAAAAACTCAGATCGGAATACGGCGTAACCATTGAATAGTTACTTCCAAATTCTAGAAGTGTCTCTTATGGTAAGCGCGACACAGTGTGCAAGCAAGATAAAAAAAAAACACTAATCGGTGTTAGCTTAGTGATTAAGCTAAATAAAAATTAACCTCTACGATCTAGAGCTATAAGATGCTGGACCGGTCGTCGTGCTGACCATAATGATGATGTAAAGGACGCCCACTTAACTTTGGTTTGTGTTTTTTTTTGCAGGCGCAGCTGTATCAGACGTGGCGGATCTTGCGACGCTCGTCCGGGCGACTGCTGCTATCATTCGTCATGTCGCTGCAATCTTTGGGGCACCAACTGCCGATGCATGCGTATGGGCCTACTGCAGAGATGGATCAATGGTCGGCGTCGCTGAATGCCAGATATGCAGAGAACGCGGTTACGACCAGCTGCTGACACCCGCTACCCCAGTGATTACAGCTCTTACTACTACTACTATTATGATAACACTACGCACTATGCTGATGCCGCTGCTCGAGATTAAATCGAATATATGATACGATAACAATGACATTGCAGATCCGCATGTCATATAATCGTACCAAGGTGACTTGTATCAAACGATTACCTAATTCGTTACTATTGTAATAAGCGAAGTGACGCAGCGAATCGGATATATGAGCGACGGTGGCATTCTTGCAATTACCGCAAACCCCCCACCCCACTCCCGCCTCTACCTGACGCCTACGCTACGAAAGTGAAAAATTCAGAGCCCCAATAAATACGTACTGCATCATCATTCGAAATGTTGTCAGACTAGACTTTATCTAAAAGCACTAATGAAACTATAACAAGCAAAATATTTATAGGTATGACACGTTTGCATTTATAGACGGAACGCTGGTTAGCGCTTCATATGATCCGACGATCCTTAACGAAACATCTTGAAATTCTAGGTCTAGGAAGAAAGGTCACGTTCCTTAGTACAGCTTGTGTTCTCGTTCGCGCGTGCGACGACCTTACTAGCACATCGAATGCAATGTGCTTCAAGCCACTCCAGAAGAAGAGAAGAACCTAGACAAAGACCAGTAGAATCCTCATTATAGCTTCGTCGTCTTAGATGACCCAATAGCTTAGGTCCTGATCTCTTCGAAATCAAGTTGTTTCTCTCGAAGCTCGGTGCTTTCTTCTTAAAGCAAACATGCTTTTACGGTTGTACGTAATCTGTCCGCCCGAATCAGTTAAATGCAATTCAAAGAGCTCGCTTAAATAGAAGAGAGAAAAATTTCTTATCACCTATCGGCTAAATGCACATTATAATGCCATCCAACGGGTGGCGATATAGCGAAGAAAAAATACAGGGACATTTGCGCAACAATCCTCACTACCCGTACGTGTTTTCCGTCGGTTGAAGACATAAAAAACGGAAATTTATCATATGTCTTTCTTAAGCACGTTCTCTAATTGACATATTAGGTCGACGCAACTCGTGTTGCGTATATTTTGGTCACTTGGGAACCTGAGCGGGTCCCTCGCTGACAGACTTCTCAGAATGACTTCGCTTAATGACCGCTTCTGTCTCCTTTGCCTAGCTTCTTCGCTTCAATTCTTTTCAACAGCTACGGCTTCGACGCTTCATTGGATTCGCCATGTCCCTCTGGTCTACCTCATTCTTGATTACCCAAGTGGCGAACACTCGTTTAGCCAGAAGCAGCTTGTCATGACATGGCAACATTTGCTGCTACTGAACCTCGTGGTAGGTATAACTATGACTGAATTTTTACGAATATTAGTAGTGATTAAGGATCATTGCTGTTGCCATATAACAGTACTAACAATAGCTAATATGACTATTAGTATTTTGCCGACCTAGCGTCGCCAAGCGTCGGCGATTCATGGAACAGTCCGAGGAACCTCTCGCACGCAAAAGTACTCTAGTAAATATCTCATTGATAGAGAGTAAAAACGAGTAGCAATCTAACACAGTCTGATCAATGTAGCCTGATTATTATTGTTCAGATTCGTGGGTTTCGGATACGTAGCTCTGATACGCGAAGGCCCCGTTGCTCTCGCCGTTCCAATGTTGAAGTGCTAGTCGTGATCAATTGAACAATAAACAAATGAATAATTAAATCGAATAAATATTGAATACATCAAGTATGTCAGCTGTCTATGTCAATGTGATTAGTTCTTTTTCCTCAGAAATACTTATATATATATGCAGAAGAAAATATATATATATAAGCAAGTACGCCCTGACTAGTAGATACAGAACTGCGTGTCGGTGATATACAGGTGTCATAGCACAGGGTAATATCCTTTATCTATCCCGTAACAGGATCGCTTTGGTTTATACTTAACTGTAGTGAAAGGAAGCTTTAAATGAATGTCTATCCATAGCGTCGCGGTGAGTCTATCACCAGTCGTAATAGCGAAGTCTACGAACGGTCGCGTAAGTTTTAACTGTCTCCACACGAAACACAGCAGCCTGGTTTACCTGGCGCAACATAGAGAGCTTGTCGGCACTACTGCCCTGTTCTATTATTCGATACCCGCTTAGGTCGTCTAAGTAAATCAGAGTTGATAACGCCATCGAGGGAGGCACAAGGCGTTTAGGTTTCAGCTGACACTAATCCTAGGTTATATGTATCATTCTCTCGTGTAAATTTTAATGTATAATAAAGCAGTATATATTTATACAAGATGAGTCGTTATTTTTTTCAATTAAAGTAACGAACTATGAAATATCCCTTGTATTGATGCATTTACTCAGACTGAAGGTGCTACAAGTAGGATAAGCGCGCTGCATAATGATAGATAAAAGTGCCAGGTATAGAAGTTCATCGACCAGAATCAAACGAGATATTATGCACCACCATGATAGACGTAGTCAATAGCCAAGATCTGTTTCAAATAGAAGAACTAAACTAACCGGTATTCAGTGCACTAATGTTTAAAACGTTATTAATCTTGTCTTGCAAATACCGTTTACGAGAGCACAATTTAATAACAGGTCGTCTAAGCAATATCCACTTTCCTTGAGCAAAGAACAATTATCTATTACGTTGCAGAGTCTATCCAGATCTGCTCGAAAAACCTCACCTGCGAACCTTCATCACTCAGAATCGTTCAGCAGCATCAGCTCATCAGAAATGGATCACAAATCCTTCATTCACATAGGCCTTCTAAGGAGCAGAAGATCAACATCAAAAAGTTGAAAGCTAATAAATATACACATAAGCAGAAAATCGAAACGTCACCTACCTAATATTGTACGTAGTATAATCAAAATTTGGTCTTAGATCCTATTCTGATAACGAGCGGACCAAATTATAAAAGTTACAATAACCTTGTCAAGCTCAAGTAATATTCTTCGGACCGGGCTTTAATAATGCATTTTTCTCCCTTTAAAATGGCTGGCTGTTAGCCTTTCGCTTCGACCAGGATTTTTTTTTTTAATTTTAGTAGAATTTACTCCGTACACATTTTCTTTGAGATTAGTTCTGTCTCTGTTTTGCGACAATAACTTGTGTTTGTTTGTTCTCTCTGTCGCAGTAGCGTTCCAGTGTTTTACAATCTCGGGGCTTAAATTTTATAGAATCAGCTGGAAAGGCGGACAAAAATAAGCAGACAGCTTCGCAGAATTTCGCTGTACGAGTAAGAAACGGTTCGGCCAGTCGGCCAAATCTCATTGGAGTTCTCACTGGTTCTTTTAGACAATGTATAATTGTTTTTTCCTTCACTTGATCAAAATAGAAACGTTCTCTGTGTTGTTTTTGTACGAAACGAGCACTGACCACCGGTGGCGAGCGACAACAGTGGTAGCTGTTGTAGCTAAAACAATTTAGCTTTGAATTGTTGTGAACCCGTAATAGTATTCTCTATTCACTAGAAGCTTGTCGTTCCAGCATACTTACACTCTTTCGGTTTCGATTGCCCTCCATCCAACAGGACCTTGATAGTAGTGTCTTTAAGATTTACCTACATTTTGTTTCATGTCTTCCAATGCCACATTCCTGACAAATGGTAAAGCCTCTATGCGAAAAGGGACAGTGCAGTATTTCGAAATGATTGTATTATTGTTCATTCAAAACGATCAGTGAGAGACAGAGTCGAGCTGTCCGATGATTTCTTGAGAGCATCTCCATCCAAAATGCGTATTTAATACATAGTTCGCGTTAGGATTGAAGCTGAAAGATTGAAATCAAGTCTGTCGTGGATTAAAATTGCAAGGGATGTAGCCTACGCCAGCCGCCAATAGATTAATAACCAGAAAAGTATTTGATCGCCCCCCAAAAACGAAATAGTCCATGAACGATACTATTAATTTCTGGTCGACATATTACTGTGTATTGCTAAAAAAGTGTGTCATTATTGGCAATTTTTTTAGGGTCCGTGTGAGCATGGTCCAATGCCGGAATCGCTGTCATTGTCTGACTGTGACGAAAACATGCGTACATCATCTTCTGTATTTGTAGCTAAGACAGAGTCTAACCTAAACTAAATAGGTGTAATAAAACTAAATAATAAATAACTAAAAAGGTTTATGACCCTTTATGAATGGCGGTGGAAAATCGTAAATAATACATATTTTGCCTAATGTATTGTCATTGGCCATAACTACCGTTTCTTCAGTATAAACATTTTTGGGCATGCTACAACAATGCGCGAAACACATTTAACCTATCGGTGATTCGTATCGTTTTTCTAAATTTAGAGCGCGCGCAAACTAGCCGTCCTAATCATTGATAGGGCAATGAGGAAGAAGCCTTCATCAGCGTGTCCGTTTCAGTAGGGAACTCGATTGACGTTCATTAATATTTATCCAAATGCTGACGACAATGTTATTGATTGAGCTAAAATACCGCTACCTAATTCCTTTCATAGGGATCTCTGTAACGTCATAATATTAACCCTTACCGTATTGGGTATCATCGTGGAATGGGATAAAATGGTGGGATTTCAGCAAAATCAGCAGTAGCGTTTCGTGTTGATATTCCGCACTAAATACAGTCGGTGCATTCTATTTTACCATCTGTTTCCGCGCTGGTTTGCTGATGATTTGAATGACTGTGTAGGTAAAGTGTTGAAATGAAAAGAAGATGAGGTAACTCCGAAAAGCAGCAGACCCTATTTAGCAGACTACTTGATCAAAACAAATACACACAGCGCGAAACTCCTGAAACGCTACACGTTGCTAGGAAGCTGAGGGAAAACTTCCAGCTATCGTCATCCGTATCAAGGATCGGCATTAAATGCGTACTACGAAGCGAGAGGTTTCTGTGGTTATTTGCGAACTTCAAAGAGATAGACTTATTCCGTATAATTTCGTCCAGAGGTACAGGAGTAGTCCCCTCACGACAGCTACGTCCCCACGCACGGTGAGGCACTTAGTCACAGATCAGAGATACAAAGTATCTCTAAGCTGTTAATTCCCAATGACATTTAAGCGCTGCCGAGATCGTCTAATTCTGCAGACTTTACTCCCATAGAGGAAGTCCGAAAAATTATGGGTTCGGAACCGGCAGTAAGTAACAATTGTTTGGATCTCCTTGAAAAGATCACTAATTTATGGCTACAGGACTAACTCATAGCTGACAGAGCGAGAAAATGTCCCAAAAGAGAGGCGGCAGTTACCGCTTAAGAGGCCGTGCCACAAAACACTGACGACGCTCGCAACTGTCACATTGTTTGTCAGGAATTTAGAAATATTTTCCTACCCTCTGTCGCATATAGGGTACTAAAAGTAAGTAGAATAATGTCGCTTTCGTAAGATAAAACCCGTTCAAAAATACCTAGTTCGAGTGCTGCCAAATTGGAAACAATTTCCTTGCTCTTATTTGAGTCTAACTAGATTAAAGGCCGACTTTATATATACACACTCTTTGATTCTAGTTTGTTTGTCTCTCCAACACGAAATCGACTCTCCAAATCTTCGCTTGTGGTGCAGAATGAATGCTTCTTCCCGAGCGGGGTTGGCTTTTTCAAATTCATAGAACGTTTTTTGCAGAAATCTTGGAAATACATCTGTGAAAAAGTGGTGGAGCTAAGGTAGGTTATATTTCAATGGGGCTTCTATCGAAATTTGTTTCTACTGACAAGATGATAGCCGGATGTTTATGTGGAAATCTATGATTTAGAAATTTTTTTGCTAAGACCAACCGAAAGCTACTTCCAGGCTGAATTAAAATGTTCCCATATCCAAATTTTAGTTTTTAAATTAAAAGTGTCTATATCACTTTTACTGGCTCACTCACGGCTATTTCATGTGAAATATTTTAGCAAACATTGGACGTGGCTGCCCACCCGTTGGCACAAATATCTAACTTATTTCTTCTAAGCTCTATTTTTCCAGCATAGTTTAAAGTATCTTTATTTAAAGGTAATTTATTATTTAAAGGTAAAAGTGCCGTAATAGTTCAACAAACTAAAGACTCATAATTATGGCCGATTTCTACGAGAAACTCCTTGAAAGAATCGAGACTGCAGTATAGTTTTCTTCGCTCCCGCTCGTACGACCTAGCCTTTTGTAATATCTATATCACCTTTTTTTTTGTCAATAATGATTTACCAAGTCCTAGAAGATACTCCGTACAGAGCCGATAAGGTCTATAGTTTTTTGCACAAATTCATCGCTTTGCCCTTGTGCACCTTGACGTTTATGAAACTCAGGATGTCATAGTTGATCTTCCTTCAGCTAAGATGAGCGTCCGTTCATTGATATTAGCAGGCTGTGTTCTGGTCGTGTTGCGTTTTCGAAAACATTAAACCTCTTTTAAAAGTTAACATTTCTTCCATTGTTCAATTCTTCAGGATCGGCCATGTGGCTCTTCTGTTATCACGTCAACACCGACGGCGAGCCAGTCGAGTAATGGACGGACTGCATTAAATCAATGATACTTTAAAGTCTGAGAAGTTAAAAAACGCCGATTAGAATAGGAACCACTTTCTTCGTAGGGCATCGCGCACCCACTCAATAGCACGCAATCAATCACACGTAAAACCATCCATCGGACGTAAAAAATTCATATTTTCTGAACGTTATTGTCTCACTTGTCTGGCAGCAATGCGCTAGTACTAATTCAATTCATTCATTCATTATTTCGAATCTGACAAGCGTAACAGTTTTTAAAAATTTATTTTTACATACGAATCGACGTTAAACGACTATCGGAAATATTCCGATTTTAAGGTTTGGCAGACGACAGGCTCTGTCAGAACAGATCCTAGTAAAGGCACTGCCTGGCGCAAAGTACTGACTGATAAAACATCCGATGCCTAACAGTGCTTTGATTGCATATCTATTCGCGTTTCTAGATTTTTTTAATGGAAAGTTTATAATAAAACTTGAAATCAGGTGCTGCCACTGTAGAATAAAGTATGGCAGGTAAGATCTGTTAGGCTTACCTTGAACAACCGGAAGTTATGTACACCGCCAAGACCAAAAAGCTAAATGGCGAAATAGGTTATGCAATTTATGTTCCTATTTGATATTTGGGTCTAGTAGCCGAAAGCCATATGTAAAAAAACGGATCAGATACCAAATGATGTATGGGCGCGATCATAGAGAAGCGTTGCATTTACAAAAGTGTCTAGGAAATGCACATTGCTCATTGAAATATCTAAAGTAAGTCCACTGTCTGTGAGAGCGTGATTCTGAACGTCTTTGCTTTTAAGTAAAACTGCTTTTTAAGATGTCAACGTACAAGTACGAAAGCTGCATGGAATCCCTGAAGAATACCTTCGCGTCTAGATTAATTTGTAAAAGCTATGGCGGTCCTGTTCCGCCACTTTTTCTTCTGAGATTGCAGAGCGTGAGGTCGAGACCGCCACTCATAGAAAACAGCTCGTTCTCTCTTGTATATACATTCGCTACTATTTAGACCAGATTGCATAATATAAGACAGTTAGAGCTGTATATTTATTCTTAAGCCGAAGTAGATTTGAAGCTAATACGCAGAGCGTGGCGGTAGTGAGGCAGGACTTTTACAACGAATGATCGCTACGTCATTATGGGCCGAGTCAATAGATCGTGCCTGAAGGAAACTGGGCCAGGTTAAGGACCCAAAAGAGAATTGTCATGGAACTCTGGGGGCAAGATCTTGCATGTTGTTTTTTATTTGGTTCAACCTTTCAAATCTGTTATGCAAGCAGAATATATATATATATATATATATATATATATATAAGAACTCCTAATTGGCTGTTTTTCCTAAAATGTGATAATACAATTAAAAAATACTGAACTGACCAGTCCATGTTGACTAACGTGTCAAAACATTATATCTGCTATACTCAAGCGAAGCTGTCTATTGAAAGTTTGGGAAAATCGTGTTCCAAGAAGCGGCATTGGCATCTAATGCTATGAAAATAACCTGGCCAAGGCATGGCTAACAGATTTCGCTGATTTACTTATTTTATTAAATAAATCAACTCCCCGCTAAAGCATGCGACCTGACAGGTCGAGAACCTGTTGAAAACACGGCAATGTCCAAATAGACGTTTAGGATTGCTCAGTTACAGCACTCTGCCTTCTTTGGCGCCAACGGTTAACATGTTCGGTACCAACGATACGGAAGTTGAAACGTCGACGTACCACATATTTGGTATATTTGTGTCTGGCCTCTTAAGGAAAATATAATTTAACCGTTGTTCCAAAGGCGGTATTGTTATAGCTGCGTGTTTTGCTACATGTTTTTATATGCAAATGCTTCTTTGTTACGCTCAACAGGTCAACACCTTTTTGCTGGATCTGGAGTCGGTCGTTTTATTAAAATGAATAAGGTTGACTAAATGAGCAAATACACTAACCGATCTATCGCCGTATTTCATATCACTTTGTAATGCCTCTCGTTATCTTTCGGGATTCGAGTAAAATAATTGAAAAGTCGCTCCATGTTGTCCGGGTTTCACCACAAAGATTGTCCTGTTCAAGGCTCATTTGATAGCGCGTCAAAATAGAGTCACCGCGAGCGTCCGCAGCAAAGGCTGGTTGATGGTTCCTGATAGCCACCAGTAGTCCGCAGTCGAACCACCTGAAGTCTTAAACGTAGCTTTCTATGAACCTTTTTTCCTGAAGTTCTTTCTATGAACCTGAAGTTTTCAACGAGTGAAGACGAACAGTGCGAGGTGGTTACGAAATCCATTGAGGGCCTTAATATTGCGTTCTTGAACCGCAAAAGTTTTTGGCTACTACAATCGAAAGTGAGGAAATCAAATTAGATTGATACGCGCTGAATATTGCCTCCATACACCCATTCAAAGTGTGATACTAATGTTTACTAATTAATTTTAAAAGCGATTTTGAAGCTACTGGATATAATACTAACAGAAATAGTAACCTTGATCCATCAGACAGTTTTGCTAAAGGATATTACAAGGCAGTAAATTCTCATTCATCTTTCGTTTCTGCACACAGATTCGACAAGCTGTAGTTCCTAGGCATCGTCCATTTCGACATTTTACATGAAGCCACTAGCAACTCATCTTTTGTCCGAATTGGCTGCCTCAATTTGGAGCAGCACATTGAATGCGTGCACCTTGTGTTTATTTACCTCGTAGTATGTGATAATGTATCTCTGGTAAATAACTCCTCGTCGATAGGTTAAGGCAAATCTAGTTTTTGGATTACCGACGGTCTGATTTAAAGACTTAGTGCACGATTAGATGCTTTTGTTACGCCATATCTTGTTCAAAAGTTGAAACCAACTTGAAGAAAAGAGTATGCACAAAATGTGAGGTTCGATAAGTTGATCCCGTTAATACGTCACAGAAAGAACCCTACTCGTAATGGTTGACGTAACAAGTACAGCGCAGAACGGAATCTATAACTTCTATACGTTGAATTGTCTAATAAGTATTGATCGTTTCAAGTTGATATCAACGCAAATAATAACTTAACTAAGTATATGCCATTATCGTAGAACCTCGATAGTTTTCGGGCGAAAAATTGTGATAATAAATGGTTTTCGCGGTCCTTTACTGAAACTAGGTTGACACCGTTCTGGGGTTTACCAATGACCGGAACAGATGATCATGTAACAGTGCAAGATCCAGGCTGTACGGCGTATATATATGCATTAGATTTCCTTATTGGAGAATTGTGAATTTTTTCCGGGTAGCTAAAAATGTACGCCATCTTTGTGGACTAGCAATTAAATTGCTTAGATCAATAACTTATTGTAATCGTATAGGTTGTTTTCTAATAGCAATACCGGACGTAAAACGTAGCGATTGTTGCCCAATCGGTCGTTTTGTCAGAAACCCACAATGTATGATGTCTTTCAAATCTACCATACACAAAGACATCAATCTGGGTTTTGTCACGGACTGTGGAGGACATTCTTTGTATTTGCACATTTGTCCCGCATGTAATCCGTTTTTCATGACCCGTTTAATATATGATTCGATTCTGTTTCGTTCTGGTAGAATTTCGCAGATGAAAATACACATCAGGTGGCTGTAGCAACGGAAGAGCTCGTTGTTGTTAATCAATTCCAGCAAGGATCGCGCTGTTTTTAAGAGGAACCTATTGATATTCATTTATTATACACACATTTCCTCGTTAATAAAGGATGCATGAAAAAAAAAACGTTAAAATAACACCAATTATGTCACAAGACTTGCGCTATGCTCAGATGGATAGATTTCGACCTACCTGTTTCAGCCAGGAAACAGTTGATCTTCTGTCGAGCAGACTTTAGGCATCGCAATGTTACGAATCAGGTTCTATTTGTTGACATGTAAATATCACAATAGATAACAGCTTGTAAAATGAGATTGATTTGTATAGAAACATTTTCTAGTTTTAAGTTTAACTTCAATAGTGTTCTTTAAGGGAATCACATAAACCTTATATTGAGTCGTAGCTTGTAATACGATAATTTCCGCCCAGATAAATTTCTGTAAAAAAAAAGTATAAATGCTGAACGAGGAAACACACAGAATTATTATTAAACGTATAGTATTGAATAATTCTCGTAGTAAGATTTAATCGAGATTTTGAAAAAGTGGTAATCTGTGTCTGACGAGCATGGTAAATACCAAAAAGCCTTCGATGATAATTCGTGCATTTATGCACCGTGATTCGTACGCTGTCGGGTCAAGCGTTGCCTTGATGTACGGACAGCTTACGTTTCTTCGCCTATATCAGCTGTTCAACACAAAGTTCTTTGTCAACAGCTGACTATTTACTTAATTGATGACACAAGACCCGACGAGGTCACAATAGGCCGCGAAGGACACACCATCAGCTTTTACAGCTGTACACTTGGTCTAGGATATTTCGCCAGCCCTGCTGCGTCCACTCACTGATGTGACCATTAGAAATCATCGTAGAGAGAATTTGGTTACCTCAAGTCATAGTTTGCTGTTGGAATAGGTCACTGTTATGCCGAGAGTGAGCGTTCCTATATTTTTGTTTTTGATGCTCGCTCCAATCATGCGGCCTCATCCAATCGCCCATTTGCAGGAGGTCTTTCTCGAGACTCGAGACATTTCTTTCCGCGATTTTTCAAATAGATGGCTTACGGGGCGTACTAGTAGAACCTCTACCGAATAGAAGGTTCATACGGTGACCTGTCTCCACCTCTCTAACTCTAACAGATGCAATTCATATTCGTAGACCACGTGAAATTTCTAGTTTCCCACGACCTACTACAACCCGTATGCTAGAAATATAACATTCGAACGAGCGGTGCTAATTCTCAGAAAGTACAAGTTTCGAACGTACGAAAGGTGTCGCGGAGTGCCGTACTGCTCTAAGACAGCGTTTTCTTGGAATACTAGATTCATGTTTGTCACGTTTCACCCTGAACGACCTAACAATATACCTGATGATGCATATATAAGCTGAAAGCCAAAGGCTTAGTTACGTAACCTTAAGCTAATTCTTCCATGAAACCACAAAATCTTGCCAAAGTTTATTTTGTGTGAAACTAAACACATTCTTTCAAAACACAGACATATTTTATAATTTATCGGCTTATTTAAGCACTTGTACTTATATGTCAGGGGGGTTTTTCATCCAACGAAAGATCCAACGTCCCACTCAGATCTGGCAACAAAGTTATTGTGCATTAATTGACTCTCATCACGACCTTTTCTAGCCTCTCAATCAATTTACTGATTTCTTATGAGTAGTCATGCTTTAACACTCAACAACGGTGCTAAAACACTGAAACATCTAACACGAATCTTTCCTCAAAGTCTCACGCGGCTGATTACAGCAGTAAAAATTGATGATATGATAGAAAAAGAGAAAGTACTCAAAAACATCCCTCTTAAAGTGATCAGGTAGAGGAATGCTTATACAACCGCTACATATAGCCCAATGTTCTGGCCATAAAGACCCATTTATGCTGTCTTTCTTCGACAGAACATAGCGTGTGTTCATTTAAACCCATTTCAAATCAGCTTATTTCGACGGTAAGGCAGTAGTTACTATAGCTATTACTAGGTCATGTAAGTCACCTAAAGCAAGCATTTACCGAATACTTTCATGTTGGGTATTGAAGAATTCATGTGCCTGGTCTCTAGGACCTTTTTCATTGCCGAATGTATGAGTATTTACTCGTTAATGGTTGAAAAATATGGTAGAGAAATTTATGCCCGGTGGGCCTGAAAGAATCTTTTATTCAATCTCTTGCAAAACAACTTTAACGACGAAAGTAGAGATGGGCAATTTCACTTTGTTCGGCGGTTCTATGTTTTTAGGCAGACCCGCTGAATCGATACAACTGGGCCTTTACAACTCTCAATGTATGAGACTGCCCCGCCAAACGTAAATCAGTCGTTTAGGATGGAGATCAAACTTAGTTCTAGATTTAGTCCTATACTGCAGAATTGGTTAGTTCTTTCTTTACTTTATGTTATCGTTCGTATTACTCCCTACAAATCTTTACAGACTGCGCGCCATTGGATGCCGGGCAAGATGTTGATAAAATGAGAAGCCGTATACATTTCCAACAAATTTTCCAGGTTCACGGTTTCTGTCGATAGTCATACGACTCTAATTTATCTTCTCGGCTACATCACAAATCGTTTGCCGGCCATCTTCCCTCCAATATCTCTGCCTACTTCGGCAAGTTTTAAGTTTGGCCAAAAGTAAAGTTGAGTAGGTGTCAAACATATACATTTTACCAGGGACATTTACCTTTGAAGATTGAATTCAACGTAAAAATCGACTGATATAGAAGAGAAGTGAATTTCTAAATGAACAGAAGTAAATGGGCAGTGAAGACATAAAGATTAAAACAACTACCTTTAGTTACGTTATAGCCTAATATCTTACACTTGTTTTTAGATTATATATAAATTAAAGTTAATTGTGTTTCATGTCGAGTACCTGTATTACTTATCTAGGCTGCAAAATTAATTTTAGGAAGTTTAATGGGTTACACTATTTGTCCTATGACAGCCCAGCACGGCTGGATTATGCATACTGAAGAGCATACAAGGGATGATTCATTGGCTTATATATATTTAACATCAGTAATATCGGCAATGTTACGTTGCGTTCTAGTCCACTCTGCAGGAGCTCGACGACGCGTTGAGGTCATTGGATAGGCATCCACGGTGCTCTGTGGTGAGTTGTTCGTTCGGTTCGTGGTCCTCCTGATTTTGCTGCAAGCGGGCCAGTTTATTGAAATTTCTTGATCGATCTTCTTAGGGCTACCTTCGTCAACGAGACGTATCGTCCTGAGACCTGCGGCCTGTCACAGTGACCGATTCACCAGGTGTTTAAGGAAACAAAACGCGTCCCAAAACCGTAGCTTTCCACCACCGGTGCCCACAAACGTTACTGTGTTTTTCTCTTCTTGGTTCGTTAGCCATTCGTGTCGTCGCCGCCGTCGTCGTCGTCGTCGTCGAACACAGTTTCGACGAACGTAACCTTGTACAAACTTTTAAGCCACCTTTTAAATTATATAACCACACATTGAAAAATGACATAGTTTCTAGTATCCAGTTTAATAATTACACAGTTTAGCAATACAGGGGTTTGAGACCTGATGCCGCTTCTGGTTAATAAAACCTAGCTTACACATATAAATTCGTTTTATTATTGGGTTTATACACAGGCAAATGCGATATAAAACACAATTCTAACTAAGACTAAGATATGCAGGCACAGCATTGTTTGCATTTAATCGTATGCACTTACACCTGTGTGTTTATAAAAATAGTTCTCATTCTCACTGATATTTGGAAACATCGCCGGCAGGTTACGCAGAAATTTCGTCGAGATCTTGAAAAAAAAGTTCGGCATTTAAAATAAATGTAAAAAGTCTACACTACTGAGAAATTTTAACAGAACATGTCTACGACAGTGTATCTGTTCATCGAATTTATCATTGTAATTATAGTTAGAAAATAAATTTCATAATCTCAGGCCGACCGATTACTTCAAAACGCTAGTATATAAGTAAAACCTAATGGAAACGGTGTCGTCATGGCTAACCATGACGCCCCGTTTTGCTAGTTTAACGTAATCGTTAGTTCGATTACAGATTGTAGCAATATGATGAGAGGTGGACTGCCGTTCCTAAATGATTGATTGAGGACTTAATCTAAAGGGTAATAATGGCTGTTGTTAGTTGGAAACCGATTGTACCGTTTGTATGGCAGCATTCGCTACATACTTAAACCCTCAGACGTCAGGGGGTCGATTAGTAGAATCTACCGATCTACAAGCGTCTTTACAATCAGCTCTGTCTCTTGAGTGGGGTCGTTATCTAATTGCGAGTTAAACGAAATCGACGGCTAGCTTATTGACGTCAGGGGAAGAACTAATATAGTGATGCTGAACTACTCGATTTAGATTTAAAGGCTAACGGCCAAATATAAACCATAGTAGATTCCCAGTTAAAGCTGAAGAAGAGTTAAAGCGGTTACGAGATTGGTGCCCTCACGCACGAAGAACGCTTAGCCTGTACCAAGCAAGCTACCTAGACAATAGTACTAGAAAACCTTGAAACATTAAAGGTCGCACATTTTGACAGCATCTCTATCATTGGTTAAAGACACAGTCAATCTCTAAAATAAATAACACTACAGATATAAGCTAGCCTCAGCTATGATTGACGATGTGTCCAATGTAACGCATAGTAGATTCTTTCAAATATACTACATTATTGTACATAGTTGAATCATAGAAGTTATGTTTTCTTTTTCACCACCGGGTCCATACGGAAGCCTTGCAGTGAGACAACTCCTTGAGTCGTTTCAGGACGTATCATATAGGTTTTTACTCAGAAGTACGCTAGATGGCTTTCGCCTCGGCCTTATGACCATCGGATCTTAGCGGAGCGACTCATCAGTGCCGAGATAATGGAAAGCAGATCGCCTCAGAGGCGAGCGCAAACAGCTAATTGAACGTTCCTTTGGGATGGAAGGGGGCAGGGGGGTCAGTCGCGTCATGTCACAAAAATATTAAGTGTTATATTAAAACAAATATATACCGTATTTGTTTGGTTCCGGTGAAAGTTACCGTTGCGGTGGACCTTAAATTGTTGAAGGCATGTCATCATATGGACCAGCGGTATTTTGTTGTATAAACGACATAGGCACGTTAAGTAGAGACCATCACTGAGACACTGTTGACGATAAATAATATTAATATATAGTATACTAGGCAAGCTTACCAGTTATCGATGCGAATTTCTGCATTTTTTTTTTGTTTTTCTAGTGCAAAAATTGCATAACACAAAGACACGCTTTTACGGTACGTTCATACTGTACTTTTCACCATGAATCCGATTATAACATTAACAAACAGTAGTTGTTATAATAGTAGTAATGGTATATGATAACAAGTTTGTTGCAAACGAAACCACTTCCGAGATCGTTAGGTTAGGTTAGGTTAGGTTAGGTTAGGAACGCTCTCTTCTTAGGAATGCGCTCTTCTTAGGTTATCAGAACGCGTAAATAACCTAAGAAGAGCGCATGCCTTATAGTTTTCGTCTGTGATGAAACCGTTCCCACCATTGCTGCGCCGTTCCGAAATCGCTGCAACGTCTGCTCTTATCGGTCAAACTAGACCTTTTTACTCGGCTGTTAGGTCCAGTAACTCACTAGCGCGTGTACACCTCAGGACACCTTTAAAAATCCTAGTAGTTTTTCGGGTACTTGCGCGCCCATCTGTCTTCCCAGCATGAAAATGCATGGCCACCATTTCAATCTGAGATCAACAATAGTGTTATGTTATGAACAGGGGTTCACTGGCGAGTACGTACTTTTAGAGATTTAACGATAATTTTTTTTTGAACGAGCATTTGCCGCTTGCATTCTCTCGACAATCTTTTAGTAAAACATCTCCGTACGTCACAACAGATACCGTACGCACTTCGATGGCTGACACT